GATAGCGTATACTACTCTAATTAAGAAGTCGAGGAAGTCGATACAGAAGGAAAAGGAATTTCTACCGGGTTCTGCGACTCGTTCCCTCCTCCCTCCCCTCTTTTCAAGAAGCTAGTTTTTCAAATAGATAGTTTTTCCAACGGATACACGGCAATCTTACTCGATCGTAATCCGAATGCAACGCGAACATGCAAGTCGCGTTAACTATGTCGGATACGGGCGTGGAAATGGAAAGTGGAGGAAGCCCGTTTGTGCAATTCTTTGTTGATTACGCGTTTGCAACGTTTCTTTTCCGGAGTGCACGCTCCCCGGTATATCCTGTGTGTGTATATACTGTGCACAAACCGAGAATAAGAAATCACACTCGGTTTCTATTGAAATTCACTTAAACGTAGTTTTTAAACTGATTTCAATAACATATCTTTTGTTCAAAGAAACGTATGTCCAAACATTATCTCTTGCGAAATAAGTATAAATAAGTAAGTAATAATATTAGAAATTTGACATGTTGCAAATTACAGAGTCAACTTCTATTAAAAAAAACTTTTTCAAATTACAATTAAAACAAAAAACGTTCTTTCTCAAACGTATTCTCTCAAATCTTAGCATCCTAACCTAACTTTCGCTCATAATCTGTTAAAAGATCTCATTGTATATTCCAACAGCCACGTGAAAAACAAAGTTTACAGTGATTAAAATCAAAAAAAAAAAAAAAAGAAAAGATACGATTTAAAAATTTAGGTCTCTTCGAGACTAGAATCGTCTAGAATAATCGAAACATTCCAATTCGATAGGCGCTCGTGTTCACTAGCAAGCGCACACGGTCCTTAAAGGCCGGATTCGATGCGCAGCATGCGTGCATTCGCATCGGGGCGGCATTCTTAAATCAATTAGCGACGACCAAAAGAACCAGCCGACCTTCGATCAGCCGACCACTCGGCTACCGTGTCCCCGTTGCCGTGGTTCGCTGCTATTACCGCCGCGGGGCGCGCGCCTGGTATCTTTGTCGAACTTTGGAACGCTTTTTGCGGACGAACCGAAACACGTCGGTGTGTATTTCCTTCCTACTAAATGGCTACATCCTTCGTCCTTCTTCGGAAGACCACCAACCGCGAACACGGTGGAACGCGAATCCCCGATTTATTTGAAGTCTCTAAGCCAGCTTTTTCCCCGCCTCCACGGGACGCCAATGACGGTGACCTATGTACGTTTCGAGATAGTTCTGGATAAGGTTATGTTGAGATCTTTCGATGACATTATTACGACTTGTTATAGGGAAAGATTTTCAAGAATACAATGTGCAATCGAAAATACACGTGATATTTTAGAGTAATGCAACTTAACCTCTGAATCGTCCAAAAAAATTGTACTTGTACTTTATAATCATTCGCAGTTAAAATTGTTTTTATTCATTTCAATATGGTTACGTTCGATAATTCTTATATGTCACTCTTTATAAAAAAATATAAGGAAAGAATTTAGAGGTTATTTGATCATCGTAAAGGGATGTTACGATTCGAGGAAGATTGAAGAATTACTGAATGTAATGCCATACCGATCGAAAAGTGTCAATTTGACTCGAAGCGAACAACACAGAACTCTCGTTCAAATTTAGAGCGTCGTAATTTTATATTACGCATCGATTGGCGCACGAGTTCCCGCAATTCCCTCAGCACCCAAGCGTGTGCAATATACGTTACGTCCTCTTGGAAGTTCGTAAATTAGCAAGGAGAACAGAACGATACATTATACGCGTTACTTACGATCCACAAAACAAAATGGAAAATACAAAACGCGGAAAGCGTAAAATTGCCATTTACCGGTAAATCATGCGTAAATTCTGAACGCCCACCGGTATTCGAACATTGGAAACGTCGCAGGCGCACTAGTTCCTGAAGACGTAGCATGGAAGTCCGTTACGAATGACATAACGGCAACTTCGATCTTGCGCCAGCGTGGAGAAAACGAGGCAAAACACGGATAATGCCTCGAACCGCGGCAGTACCAGGAAGGGACGATATTTCGTTTCTTCGTCGGATCGTTGCGGTCGATTCCTAGATCAGCAAAGGGGACAAATCGAAACGGAAAAATAAAACGAACGGTGATGAGGAGGCAAAAGGGCTATCGTGGACGAACGGTCGTGATCCAGCCACAGTTCTTGGTGAACAAGAAAAAAAACACTGCTAAGAAACACGCAAACTGAAATTATTTTGATGACCTGCGTTTCGAACGGATAGAGAAAAATATTTATCTTAGATCATTAAACAAATATTTCTCAGAATTGTCTTCTACAAATTGACTGGTATGTTTTTTTAATAATTAATACGAATTTATTTACGAATAAAAAATTTATAGATGACTTTCTCCAATGTAATGATCTATTATTTCGATTTTAATTATTCATCCTAATAATTATATGATAATTCATGCGATGCTAATTTCTTAAAAGAGCCGAAATCAAAAATCAAAAAGAAAAAGAAAGGAAAATGAACAAAAATAATAGGAAAAAAAGCTATTGTCTCCAGAAATAAATCAAAGAGAAATGCAATAACCTGTCACATTCCGAAGACCGGCGGCTCTCGCAAGCGCAGTCCAAAGAACGCGACCAATTATAGCCAGAAGAAAACCGAACGGTTTCCGGCGTGTTCCATTGGAAATTGCATGGCATTCGCTAATTGCCCGGCAGAAGCTCGCTCGCGCGCACGCATCGATGCCTTTCCCCCCTAGTAGAAGGCCGGCAGAAATCAAAAGACCAGGTCTCTCTGGTAACATTTTAGGTCCGTTTAAACTGTATCGTAATTACTCGAATCTCCGGCGTAACTCGTGGCGGCTGTAATAACGCGAGATAATTTTATATGCATAACGCATATCGGTTAGCGGACGATACCAGGCCACACACCGCATTCACTGGCGCGGTTAACTATAATTTAAAAGCGTCTTGTTATATTTCTTCTCACGTTTCTCGTTGCCCATCGTACACACCAACGATATAACCTATACAGAATAGTAGAATCTTTTTCCTTATGCACATGCATATCACTACTAATCGAGAATGAAAATGCGCGTGCGCACGCATGCGCATGAGGGTGTAATATAATTCAACGCCTCGCCCGGCGGATGGCGTCCTTTCGTTCGACCGATATAACGCGCGAATTACTTGCACGTAATATACTGCGAAACAAAGCCCGTTAACGTCATGAAACGGTAAGCTGCAAAGTATTTTGTTTAGTGTCTCGTAACTTATATTGTCCACGCACGACTTTGTAAAGAAGCAGGATAATTGAGTACTCGTACGAGACGGCTGTTAATACGGCCGATCGTTTTTACGCGCGCCAAACTTAAACGTAAATCTGTTCGTCCGGAGCGATATCTGAAAATACTCGAGCTAATTTATGGATCGGATCAACTGTACGAATGTATCAGTGTATGCTGAATACATTATTAAATGTAACGTGAAAACTCGATATGCATTTACGTTGTGTTTGACGTGTGTATGTAATATATTCAAATGAGTAGATAAAAAATACTGGATCTGTGAAGTTACAAATTAAGCTTATTCGAGTTGTGTTTATTACCTTGTTATGATTTGAATTCGTATTAATTCCGTTAAATGGATGATATTAAACAATTATTCAATGATAAAGATTTAAAAACCTTTTTGATTATATAAAAACGAAAGAATTGTAATTAAATATAATATGATTTTGTATTCTTTTCAGATGATGCCATTTAATAATGAAAGAATAATAAGATATTATGAAAAATTATAAATTTTATTTTATCAATTTATACTATATAAAGGTAATTTCCAATCCATGCAATTAATCCAATATACCTTTTAAAACTTGAATCAAATACAATTATTGTTCTTTTTTTCTGTAAATCAAATAATCATCATATAATATAAATTGTCTATTTTATATTAATTATAATCAAACGACAAAATAAGGAGAAATATTTTATATAAAAATTATAATTTCATTGTAGTTAAAGTTTTGTTTTGTTATTTTCATAAACGACCCCCGTTTATATCCATATCCGGTCGCCTATTCGTATGCAATTTGCAGCTACTTGACTCAATAATTTGATGTAAATCATGCGTTGCAGGGCCAGATTATTTCTTCACTTTGCAAAAACCAATTTAGTTTACTATTTTATTACTGACATTATTCAGCTACTCGCTGCATCATCCATTATTCATTATGCAGCCTGACGCACGATATATTCATCAAACTTTTCACAGGAAAAAAAAAAATTCTGGCACTCAACTTCGAAACATTTTTCATGCTAATGATGAACCATTTACAATACTAAAATGAGCTAAATATCAAAATAAAATTAAAATTGGAATTTTTTTTAATTTGATGTTGTCTTTGTAAATATGATAGAAATCATAAAAAAATTAATTTTAGCATGATGAAAATATATGAATAAGAATAATGAAACGTAAATGTCAGCCTCCTTGTTAATAAATTACATTGGCACATTATGAACAATCATCAATAGTCGTTCCCATGTCTGAATATCATTACTCTCAAAGCAATTGAGTAGTAAAATTTGCATTCAATCGTAGAAAGTATTATTTCTATGCACCTAATGCTTCTACACAAACCTGTCCCCTGAAATATTATCATAGGAAGTCATATGGAGTCTTACAATATTTCTCTTGTAATTTTCTTTGTAAGTTTCATGTTTTTTTTTTTCTCTGTTCAAAGGAGTATTATAATTCAAAAAAAAAAAAAAAATAATTTATAGATTTACCGAAAGGTGACAAATTGATAATTTATTATTCAATTGGAAGAATATAATCGTCAATGTCGTTTAAAGAATAAATCCAATTTTTATTAAATCAATATTGAACAATTTTCTAATTGAATCTCAAATAAAACTAAATACTAATTTTTTAGAAATTAAACTATATTGTAATTAGAAGAGAAATTTACCATACAATTAATTGCATTAAAATACATGTAAAAAAAATTGATTTTCATTTATTTCAGGATGGTTTTCTGTGATATCTGGGAACAATACAACGGGCAGTGCAAGGGTGTACAGAAGAGTGGATTCCTTGGTACGAGCAGGAGTACCAGCGTTTCTTTTAGCCGCACCTTTAAGGGCATATATTTTGACCCACTCGAAAATGGGTAAGTGAGAATGCCACGAAAATGAAACACGTATACAATACATATTAAGATTGGAATTCTTCGCTGTATCACACACATGCACAATTCTTTACTGCAGCTCGTTAATTATACGATTCGTAAATTAACTTCTTCGTGCATCGTCGCGTTTCTACCGTTGATTAGCGTCTCTTCGAGGATTTAATTAAGAGCACGAGACGAGAATACAGAACGAGAAAATTGAATTGAGATCGAAAGTGAGAAAAGAAGTGCAATCATATATATAAGTATTCGATCATTTGATGAGATTCGATTAAAGAATTTATACCACGTTGAAAATATTTTTATGTAAAGTGATTATTATTAATTTAAATTTGATATTCGTGACAATATATTCCATTATATAATTTCTTTTAAGTTCACTAATGTTTTTTTTGCTTTGAACATACATTACTTTGATTATATATTATTTAGTCAAATATATTCTTATATTTACAATAAAATGAAATTGATTGAAAATATAATTATAAATATAGTTATAAATAAATATAATAGTTTAGATAAGAAAAAAAGTATTCGAAAAATCAAACTAAGATAGTCAAAGGTAATAAATGATGTGAAATATGAAAGAAAAGGTAAAGATAAAAAGAACTAAGAAAGTGTTTAAAACAAAACAAAAGAAGATTCAAAATGGAAAGAAGAAAAAAATAACAGATAATCATTATGAAGCGAAGAACAAGTTAAGCATGAGAAAAGAATCAAAATATCATAAAAAAAAAGTGGTTGGACGAGGACAAAAAACAAAAGAAGCGGAAAAAGGAGCAAAGAAGAGAGAAATAATGACACACGTGAATGTAATATCGGTTGTAATGTCAAGCAGCAACGTTCTTGACCTAAATGCATATAAATATCAGCGTTCATATCCTGACATGGTAAAAAGAGAAATATGGGGAATGCGCAAATTATACGTTCCAAGCGGTAGCAGAAAGTTAAATGCGGTAAATGGAGTATATAGCGGCGGAAACACACAAAGCAGTGATATAAGAGGCATAACAGAAGGGTATTCAAGTTTCAGTTTCTGTTTTACGCTTGAAATTGTCGATATTTCCATTTTAAAAAGTGAAATACCACATATCTTGTATAAAGTAAGAAATTATATCATCTACAAGGGAGTAATGAGTGGATTGAAAATATATTTTTTTAAATAACTAGATACTTAGTAATATCTTGGTAGCTTATTACACAGTGTTGAATGTCTGCCTTAGGCAGTGTCATTCTACTTGCAGTCATAGAGGAAATGACATTGCATGAGATTAACTGGTATTCCCAAGTGATAGAAAAGGATAGAAAATTTGATGGAATTTAATGGATGTATGAAGAATAATAAAAAAAGAATAAAAAATTTAAATATTCAATTTATTTTTCTCTTGAACAATTTAATAGAGAGACATTTATATTGAATTTGTAAGTTTACAATTTATCTTTTTCTCTTTCTTAGAAATCTAGTAGTGTAGTAGTAGATTATATCAAAAATATAAAATAAAGAATTTTAATTTGTTTCTGTAATTTCAAATATTGATATTAATTTTTTAACTAGAAATTGTTGTTGCTATAAAATTACACGACATCTTTGTAATCTTCCTTTCTGAATGTAATATTATACTTTTCTCTCCTAGTTTTAAATCAAAACAAAATGTGTGGAAAAGCTTTCACGACCGCAATTCGCAAACCGCAAATGGCAAGAATTCCACCTGCGACCGCAAATAATTTAACCGCAATTGGAACTGTTTCGTTGACCAAAAATATGTACATTGAACCTAACTCTATCTTCTCTCAAAGAGTTGTTATTAGTTAAATTCACACGTTAATTCAATATTAATTCCCTTTTAATTAAAAGATGTTCGTTAATTTACAGAAAATGGCAATCTACGAGCTCATTATACGAAGACCACGATCAGAGCTGGAGAGATTCTACGATTAATAGCGGTTTTCCAAGACACGAGAAAGTGTAGTACGGTTTCCTTCGGAATTTCCGGCAGCTCTTCCGAAAAGGATCAGTACGCACAATGTTTGGATCCACATGGTCGTGAAGTATTCGCTTCTTTGTCGGCAAGAGGAGAATTCTACGCTATTTGCCAGAATGGAAGTATCGATACTGGAAGCGATGCAGTATTGTACAAAGTACATCATCTTGCGAAAAGACCGTTGCCTCTCAGGGTAAATATATTTTATTTTTTTAATTTCCTTAATTACACTTGATAATATCTGTTATGTTTATCACTTTATTTTATTTTTAATAGCAATTTAAGTTGTGTGTATATATATAAAATATTTTCTTTCTTATTCTAATACAATTTTAAAAAAAAATCAAGAAAATTCATATGATCTGTTATATTATGTTATACATATACACATTTAATTTCATTATTATTGTTCATTTATTGATTAAATCATTAGAAGAGATTAGAATTTAATATCATATAGTCGTTATCAATAATATCGTAAAAAATAAAATTATTATTATTTTCAGGTTCGCTTAATAGCCGGTCCATTACCTGTACCATTGCCAAGGGAATATGGCGGCTTAATGCAACTGGAAAGCTCAACTCGAGGTCCAATTGTTTTAGGATGCATTGTACCGGAAAGACCAGTTCACAATCCTGAAATGCTTGAGTTGGTTGTGACCGGAAATGGTGCACCAAGAGTGAGAAGAGCACGATTAGGTTATCCGTCAGAAGCTAGACTTCTGGCATCACCGAAAATGCAACGATTATTATCTGCCTGCAGGTATTATTAATTATAAAATAATATTCCAGAAAATAATCGATAGATCATGCTTTCATGCATACATACGCGATGGGACAAAAAAAATATCGTTATATGCAATCACTGATAGAAAATAACATACCGTACCACGTTCCTTATTACCATGATATTCAAAGGATATAAAACATTTGTAAATATATATTCTATGTGGCTTAACCTGTTCTTCCACTTCAGCCGGGCTGTCGGAGATCGTGCAACGGAACCAAGAGTGGCACCTTTGAAACTGCATCCAGTCGGCGAAAATCTTAAGGAGATGCATTTAAAAAAAATCAAACCAAAACCGGAAACGAAGCCAATATTGCAAAGTCTGAAAGATGGATTGGAACAATTGAAGAAGAGCACCGTTCGAGAAAAGAGTCAAACCAGGCAGAATTGTCGGAACGGATTTCTAGATCGAATTTCGAAATTCGCTCAAGGCAATCGCAGCAGGAACCCTGCGAAAAAATCAGCTTCGTTCACGTTTGCAGTGAAGCCGGAAATTGCTATGAGGTGTCAAGAGCGTTACTCCAGTTTGGAGCCAGAAACTACCTCTCATCCGAATCATTCGAACTCTTCCAAGCAACCTGTACAAAGATCGGCATCCACCAGTGTTCTAGAAATGCCAACCAATGTTGAATTACAACCCAATTATTCTCGTGTTAGAGATAGTCTTACACCAGTGCCATCCCTTCCCAAGTTAACTAGGACCAAAGCTGATGACATTTATGCGGAGATTTGTGAGAACGCGGCTGCACAGGTCCAAAAATGTCCCGGAAGTCATGTTATGGCTAGGATTAAAATCGTTGTAAAAGGTCGTGATTCGACCACACCTTTGCCAAGCAAAATTAGTGACAATAGTAGATATGCAAACTCGATGGTAATGACTGATCAAATTGATTCGATTATCAGCACGGAAGATGAAGTTATTTACAATACGATATTTTAAAAATGGAATTATTACATTATTATTATTATTATTATTATTATTATTATTACTATTACTATTATTATTATTATTATTATTATTATTATTATTATATTACATAAGTTAACCGGCTGTGTTTGATGATCGAGAATTCGTTGATTGTTTTTTATCAACGTAGAATTAGAAATTGAATCTGTATCATATTATATAAAAAGCACTATGAAATAATATGTAATATTTTAAAAGTTGTAATAGTTGCATGTACATATCTTTGCCATACATACTAACAATAGTAACGAAAATGAATAAAATTTTAAAAATGAAATGTTTTATGTTTTTTTAAAAAAGAATGAAAAACGAATGTAATACAAATATAAATCTGAAAAATTTTTCTTAAAATTTATTTTATTAGAGGAAAAACAAGATGCAAAGAATAAAACAGATTTATAAAAAAAATTTATGAAACATTTATTTATACTTATTGCCTTTTATTTTACTGAAAAATGTATATTACATTTTCTTTCTATTTTTTTTCTTTAAAGCCTTACTTTTATAAGAAGCTGTTTTAAAAGATGTATTAGATTTTTTATTTCTTTCTTTCTTTTTTTTCGGAATTTCTTCTATAACTTTTTTCATTACATCAACAGCTTTTTGATTGTCCTCATTTAATTTAAGTTCAATATTAACATCGGGATATTTTCCAGAAAATCCTTTTGGAAATAGCAGTTTTGACATAAGTGATGTTAATTGACGTTTTTTTATTTTTAATTGATGTTTTAAATCTGCTTGTTCTTTTATTCTTAACTCTAAATCTCTGTAAAATAAAATTATTTTCACAAAAGAAAACGAATATTAATAATTATTATTGAATTTGAAAAATCTTACTCTTCGTCCTCCTCTAAAACCAAATCCATATCTTCAATTGCTTTACGTAACCAACCCTTTTGTGAATTATCTCTACGACATTTCAATTCCAATTTATCAATTTCTCGAGCAATATCAACTCTCTCTTTTACAGCAACTAATAGTTTATCTATTACAGGAAACATAGGTAAATCTTCCGCTAAAATTAAAATTATTGTATAATAAATACATTATTATATTTTATAAATACACTATAAAAAATATGTGATATTAAAAGTGAAAATATCATGTCACAACTTAATTTATTTACTTACTGCGACCAAGTGTTTTACATAATTTACTATAATATTGTTTTTCAGAAGGTTCCATCATAAGTACTGTTATGCCATTTTTCTCTGCTCTTGCTGTTCTGCCACTTCTATGTACATAACTCTAAACAATAATTATAAAACTTAAATTGTCAAATATATTTAATAATATTATATTTGATAACAAATGTTCAATCAGTTTACACATAATTAAAATTTTGTTATATCTACTTATACATACCTCACTTGTTCTAGGAACTTGATAATGTACTACATGTTCAATATTTGGAATATCCAAACCTCTTGCAGCTACATCAGTAGCTATTAATAATCCATTTTCATCCGTCTGAAATCTGTTCTTTTTCATTATTTCAAAATTATATATATTAAATAATATTTACCTTTCAAGATTTTTTTAATCGTTGTCTTTGCTGCATACTTGCATGTAACGGTAAAGGTTTACAATCAAGAATTCCAAAAAGAGTACTTAACCGTTTTACGCAACCAATACTGTTACAAAATACCAATGTTCTACCAGTATATCTTTTCAAAAAATAATAAAGATAATAATCTTTATGATCTATTGTACAAGCTATTCTGCATTCCGTTAAATTAGCGGTAATGCCTAAAAAATAATTTTAATTATGTTATATCAAATGCATTATTTTTAATTATATGATAGAAAAATTTTGATAAAAAACCTGATTTTTTTGTTAAATCGATAATTTTTGGATTCTTTATGCCTACTAATTCCATAATTTTTTCTAGTTTTTGATCAGGTGTAAGCTTTTTTATTTTGCTTTTAATATGTTTTCTTTTTTTTTTTGTAAATACTCTGGAATATCATGTACCATAGTTAACGTAGCAGAAAATACAAATGTTTGTCTTTCCCTCAATCTTTTTTCATTTGTATTTATTTTTTCCAATAATTGTTGCAATTCTTGGAAATGTCCTTTTTCTAACATTCTATCTGTTTCATCAATAACCAAATATCTGTTGGATAACATTATTTCAATGATATGTATTGTATGTATTTGAAATAGATCATTAATTTAAATAAAATATTTAATGAAACTTACTTAATAGAATCCACTTTACAAAGATGTGAATTACCATACTGTATCAATTCCCATAATCTACCAGGTGTTGCAATTACAATTTCAGGACCTTTACTTAATATTCTTTCTTGTTTAACAGCTGCCATTCCTCCTAATACTACAGCTATCTAAATACAAATATCAATATTAATAATTTAAAACTTAATAATTAATATTTAAACAATTTTCAATATTATTTATCAAGTCTTACTTTAATATCTACATATTTTGCTGCTTTAGTTAAATGATCCTTAATTTGAATAGCTAACTCACGAGTTGGAGTCAATATTAAGGCATATAGTGGTTTTTCCATATAATTTTCTGTATTTGTTTCATTAAATTTTATATTATTAATTACACGTACACAACCTATACTGTTTTCATTAACACTATCAATATCTTCTTCATAATCAGATTCAGATGAGCTATTATCAATTTCTACTATTTTATTTTCAGAGCATATCCAACCTTTGTTCTCAATAATTTTATTTTTTTCTTTTTCAGATTTTACATTTAACTGATCACATTGCTTATTTTTTAATTCCAAAATACCATTTATAATTGGAATTCCAAATGCTAATGTTTTACCACTACCTGTTTCAGCAGCACCTAATATATCTCTATGACCTAATATTGCTGCTGGCAAAGTTAATGCTTGTATAGGAGTTGGTTGATAAAATTGTTGATCTTTTAATGCCTTTATTATAGGAGTGGATACACCTAATATTTGCCATTGTTGGGCATCAATATCATATATATAATTTTTATTCTCGTTACATTCATTCATAAAAAATTGATTATCATTATTAGAATTAATATCTAAATCATTTCTTGGAGATAATTCTTTTTTTATTTCTTTATCATTTTTTTCTTTAATCTTTTTTTCTTTAAGTTTTATTTTTTTAGTTTTCTTTAATAATGGTTCAGTAACGTCTATGTCATTTTCCAACCATTTATTGGAATGTTTATGTTTTCGTGAAATCTATGATAAATAAATATATATATATATATATACATAAAATACATATATATCATAAATTATTAAATAATATATTTTCAATAATAATAAAAATTATAATTGATAATTAATAATTAAAATGGATTAAAAATTCATATTATTGAAAAATATGTTTCTTATTTTACCTTAAGTTCCTTCTTATCATTTTTGTCATTGTAAATTACAATTTTTGTTTTGTTATTCTCTTTTTCCAATTTATAATCAGTTAATTCCTCAATACCAATTAAATCCTCAACATTACCCGAAAATACAGAACCTTCTAATTTTAATGGTTTCCATATACTTAAATTACTATGTTTCTTCTTTGCCATAGTTTTTATAATATTAATATTAATATAATTAATATTACAAAGTTATTATATTCAAATATATATAATTTGAAGAAAACCTGAAAAACAGAAACACGTGGAAAATCAATTAGTACGCACAATATAAAAATAAATGTACTTATTTATATACTTTTTGATATATAAATAATAGTTAATAAATGTATAGTAAAAAATAATCAAATTACATGATAAAATATATCGGAATTGTTTTTTGAGCAGATAAATTTTAGAAAACAAGTATAAAAAAGAAAAGCATATAGTGAGAAAAGGACAGAGATAGAGTAAAAATTGTGGAATCAGCGCCATCTCCAGAGTGCCGCAAAAGAAACTCATAAATAAAGGATAGAAAATAATAAGAGAAAGATAGAGATAAGATAAGAATTAATCATTAGTGCCATCTCTTGAATGTTTATAGAAACATTTTTTCTAAAATTACTCAAGAGATAGCGCTAATCCTTAATTCTTATCTTACTTTTTATCTTTGGCACTAAGAGATGGCGTTAATGGATAATTCTTATTCTATATTTATTCTTTTCTTTTTATTTATGAGTTTCATTTGCGGCACTCTGAAGATGGCACTGATTCCATAATTTTTACTTTATCTCTATCTTTCTCTTAACATTTACTTTCCTTGTCTTATTTGGTTTAAAATTTAGTTTTAATTTTAACGATTGCAATTTTATTCTAAATCGATAATATAAAAAAAAATAATATTAAAATAAACGACTCTTAATGTTTCCGAGATATAAAAAATAAAAATATATCAAATTGATCTATTGTGTATCTCGTAATAGTATATATGAAAAGTTAATGTAATGGAACTTCAAAATTTTATAAACTTTCAAATCCAATAGCATCATCTTTTAAAATCATTATATTATTTTTTAATTATAATTAATAAAATTAAGATATACAACAAATGAATACTCAAAATAATACAAATGAAAAAAATATTTTTAATAATTCAATTACATAGTTATGCATATACAATTATAAATCACAAAATATATATAAAATATATATAAAAGTTAAAATGTAGTAAATAAATATTTTAAATATTTAACATTAATAAAATATTATAATTGTTTTTTTGCATAAATTTATATAAATAATAAAATAAATTTGTTTCAATAATTTGATATACATATCAATTTTTAATAATTTTATATTTTTCATTATTATAATTTCATTACTTAAATATATAATTAAATAAAAAGAAAATATTTATTTAACAATATTAAGTATTATTAATTTATATTTATAAGGAAATAAGTATTATGTGCATATAATTCATTTAAAAAATTATGTTTTTATTTACAAGATTTTTGTATACAATAACATATAAAGGAACAAAAATTAACAATTACCTATTTTGATTTTCACCATCAGTACTTGAATTATTTGCAAGAATTTTACTATCTTCAGTTAAAAGTATCTTTTCTTCTTGTAAATCAGTTTCTTGTTCTGTAACTAAAAGTGATTCTGACATTTTCAATTTTTTTAACTGTGAAGTGGTTGTATCTATCTCTGTATTTTCAAATGACGATATTTCAGAAGTTTTATGTAACATTAATGATTGTACATTAGAGATTGGTAGATTTTTTTGAATTGGTAATAAAGAAGCCAAAGGTTCCAAAATGATATCTCTGTTTAAATATGTTATTCCCTGAAAAAAAAATATATTTATTTTTTTTACATCTATATATTATTAATATACTATTTTATAATAAATTTATTATTATAAAATATATATATTTTATAATAAATATATTATTAAATATATTATATTTAATATTGTAAAATTTTATACCTCTGCTTGTAATAAATTTTCTGAAATTCCTAAATGAATTGCACTTTGGTTTGGAGGAAAAATAGCATGAATACAATACTGTACATAAGGAATTAATTGTTCACTTAAACATTCTATAAATTTGAGCATATTTTCTCTTTCTGGAGCTGCAAAAGCCTGAAAAATAAAATAATATTACAAATATAGATTTAATTAAATTATAAATTAAAAATATACACTTACTTGCTGTTCTTGTTTATAAAAAACTAATATTGATTTTACTACATTTTGTAAAGATTCTTGTAAAATTTTTGTACAAAAAACAGAAAGTGCTATTGGTGGACAAAGTCGTATTTCGTTGAAAGCTGATATAAGACCATTACAATATTCGGCTAAAGGATAAAATTCTACCAATTGTTCTGGTGGATTTTCCTATAAAATTAATCCGTAATTTTTATTCATATTATTAATATGCAAAAAAAAAAAATATAAAAACAAATATTTACTTACTGATTTAATTGTATTAGTCATTTTAATATTTGTCTTTTGTATTTTATTAATTAATGTAAATGACTCCATATCTTTTTCAAATTTTTTTGTAGTTTTGCGAACACTAGTTTCAAATTTTTCTCCGATAACACGTACAAATATATCGCACATTCGACCAGTAAAATCAACACCTACTCTACCAAATGATAAACCAAAATATGTACATTGACCCAAAATAGAATCTATTGATGTTACACCAGGTAAATCTTGTTCTAAAGTCATTAAAAATTGTGATATCTAAAAAAGAAAAAAATAATAAAATTATATTAAATATATATAATCAATATTCATTATATTTTAATAAATATTCATTATACCTTTTCTTCAATCCAATGATAAAATATAGCACATTCATTCACTGTTAAATCTCTTCCAGGTTCATCATCATTAAACATAGCTTTATACTGTGTTATTATATTAATAAATATATTCTTGATAATTCTATCGTTTTTGTGATATGAAGATTAGCTAAATAAAAATATCAAATATTATTAAATTGTCTATTTAATAATGTTTCATACTTATTAAATTAACTTACAATCATCTTTAGGTATAGCAGTCAAAAGACTTTGAAGCCAACTATCACGAGCTTGTAAAAATTTAATACGTAATTCTGGTTCTGTAAAAGCATCCATTGATCGTAATAATCCAACAAGTTGTAGACATCTTGCAAGTGGTAAGTCTCCCCTTAATGAACCAACAACTTGTCCTACCATACCAGACCAACTACTTTCAATTTCTGCCACTATGGACTAAATTGTTAATAAACAAAATGAAACATGTTTTTTATATTTTATAAGCATGTTAAATCATACCGATATGATTGGAATATCTCCATGTTTAGTTCCTAATTGACGAGCATATTGAGATAATTCTAATGCTTCATTATATTGATTACTCCTTAAACAAGATTCCATTAATTGAGGCATTTCAAGTACTTCAAGTAATTCTGCATTTCTTGTTAATGTCAAGCTATTTATTCTTCTATGTGTATTTATGTCTTTTGATGTATCACAAAATGATTGGCACTTTTCCACAAATTTAGGTATTTTTTGTACAAGCCCATCAAGTCGATTTTCAGTTTCATTGAACTTAAAATTAAATAACATATTTTTATTATTGTGTATTTTATTATATATATGTATTTATTATTTAATATATTATATTAAATATATTAATATTATAAAAAATATTAAAATCTATAATATTATTACTTGTTTAAATATTTCTCTAGAACTTTCTGCAGTTTGAACAAAAGTTTTATAATTTGCAAACACTAAATCTTGTGTAGTTTGTAATACTGAAGTTTTCTCATCATCTAAATGATTAGGTTCTTTATCTAAAAAAATATAATATTTAAATTCTGATTTTAATAAAATTAATTAAGAAATATAAGAAAAAAATTATCTTACTAAGTTGATCAACATCATAACCACCAAGTTTTGATAAATATTGATAAAAATCCGGATTTTCTTTCCATGATTCTAAAAGTACAATATATGCATATTTTTAATTAAAGATTAATTTTAAATAAACAATGCAAATATATTATAACATATTGAATATGTTTTTAACGAAAAAATAAAAATATATTACCTGGTATACCATTTGGAAATACAAGATTTATAACATTTTCAGTTTCGATATCCATTTTTTATTTAAATAATACATTTGTATATTCGATAAAAATATTTAAATCACTGTTTTGAATTGCATATTTCATAAACACATATTACACGTCTAAAATCTTGTTTTAATCTTACGAAAATATCTTGATTGTACTAGTGCAATTATTGGTTGTTCATAGCATCAATGATATGAAAATTCAACAAGGAAAATCTAATATTTTTAATTCTTGAATTGTTTACTATATTAATAGAATTGTAAAAAAAGACAGAATTTCAATGATAATTGTAATAAATTTTTGTCAATTAATTAAATAATAAAATATAACTATATAATTGATAAGAATACATAAATAAGATATATTTACAATAATGTTATTAATAAATTTTTTATTTAAAATAAAATTATTTTAAAAATAAATATTTTTAAAACATTGAAATTTTATACTTAAATATTTTTATCATATAATTCTAATTTTTAAAATAATAAAAAATAACATTTAAAATAAAAATTGAATCTTTTGAAAATGCAACAATTATATATTAATATTATGTTTAATTTATATTTGTAAACAATATTTATATTTTAATTTTGATTTATGTAAAAATTTTTCTTAGATATATGGATGTGTTAGTCAATAGTGTATGTATTATATGTATATGTGATTATTACATTCATATACTATTTAATTATTAACTATGATACAATTTAATTGTAATAAATAGTAAAAATTAAAATTATCTATTGAAGATTAAACAATATTTTTCAATATTAATTTCATTCAATACAAAATGATATTAAGCGTTCTTAAACAGGTAATTGTATATTGCTTAAAATAAGGTTATGTATATATATTATTAAATAAAAATATATTATTTATCATGATTTATTTGAGAATAAAATGAAATTATATATAGATTACAACATATTATCGATATCCGCTATTTAAGAAAGGAATAAGATTTTATGGTATATATGAACCGCCATATCTAAAGGTAAATGTTTATATTATTTTTATATTGTAAAATTATACTTTGTATAATTATATATTTATATATTATATAATTATATATTATATTAATATATATTATAACTTGTATAATTATATTTATATCATGCTGATATCAACTTATTTTTATTATTATAGAAAAAAGAATTTGAAATACCAACTTATCCTGTTTTAAATATACAAATTAAAGGATATAAATATTCTCTACTTGAAAGTTATCAAAGTTTTATTCATAAAATAGCAAAGGTACTTGATATTACTATTGATGACAGGTAATATTAATGATAATTTTTTTATAATAAATTATTTAATATTATTTTAGTAACATATTTATTTTTATAGTTTTGCCTTTCCACATAAAGAATTTAAAATAAAAAAATTTAAAAAAAATAGTACAATAATTGATGCTGAATATCATTTAAAAATTTATGAGAGAGATATACAAATATCAAATGTGTCATCTGTAATATGTCCTATTCTTATTAGGATATTAGAATCAACATTACCTGAAGGTGTTTCATTATCTATACATGAATATGATCCAATTCTAAAAAAGAAATGTTTAATTCCAAATAAGGAATTACTTGATCTCAAAGCAGAATTAGAAGAATTGACAAAAGATAAAACAAAAGATTAATAATAAAAAATTTAATATTGATTATGTAAGAATGTATAGCTTGTTTAATATTGTAATTTAAAAAAAATATTTTGCATGCAAATTAATAACACAAATGAATCATAATTTCATAATTCATGTAATAAGATATAAACATTTTAATAATAAAATCCAAAAATAGCTTTTATTGCTTAAAAATTATGTACAATACAAAAGTATATATGTATATATGTATATTTTTTTCATATTTGAATTTTAACCTTTTTTTTTTCATAATAAACCAAAGTGTACAACTTTTATTTTTGAACTTTCTTCTGGTCTTGAAGATTCCTTTATTTTATCATTAATATCTTCTTCTAAAAAATAATATATATTTGAAAAATATTATGATTATTAAATAACATTACTCACTTGATAATGGTTGAAAATCTTTAAGATAATCTTCATTTCCAAGGCACAATGGAAGGCTTTCTGCTAACTCACGTTTGGGATCAGTTAAATGTATTTGATTAATTGTAGAACGTTTTTGTTTATGTGATTGCCCCTATCATATTTGATAAAGAATAAACATATATATAACATAATAGAATAAATATTATATATTATTAATTATTGATTGATTTTTAATATATTATTTACATACATATAATTATACTTACTGTACCAGGTACTAATATATGAGTTACTGTATCTGAAAATTTAACCTTTGGTTTTTCATTTGTTGCTAATGTTGTATCTGTGAAGGTAGAAAAGGAAGTACAGGATATAGAATTAGATATAGGAGATGATATAACAGGTAGAGGTGGAATGTTAGAAGATATCTTAGATTCTTTATTAACACTAGTATTTGTACCATTTTGTGATAATACTAATTTTGAATGTCTTTCAAATTTGTTTTGTATATCATAAGGAGCAGAAAATTGTGAATTACTTAATCTCAAATTATTAGTAGAGGAATGCATATCAATATTATCACAACTTCCATGAAGTGAAATGCAATCAAAATCATAATTAAATTTGTATCTAGAAGATTTAATATTGCTATATTTAAATTGATCTTGTAAAATATTAGATGCTGAATTTTGTTTTTGTAATAAATATGAATTGACATTTCTTGTTTTAGTAAATGAAAATTTTCTAACAGACTCATCAATATCTGCTAATCCAGATGTACTTCTAGATAAACGAAGATTTTTTTTTGGAAGACCCTGAAAATAATTTGTAAATGAATTTGTTAAAGAAGGTGGTGGTGGAATATTAAAATCCACTTTTTTTGCTAAGATAGATTGTTGTAATTTCATATTAGAATTATCTTCACTATTAAAATTTTTTAAATTACTATTGTCAGAATCTTGTACTTGATTTTCAAGAAAATTAAATGAAGTAGAGGCAAAATTACTATGATTGTTATGAAAATTAGATGTTGATTTATTTATTACAATAGAATCAGGAAGTGTTTTAGACACAATATCATTCATTATAACAGATGATCTTATGCTTTTTAAAGGAGATGAAGCAATATTTGAGTCAGATTTAGTAGTAACTAAATCATTAAAAGAATTATCATATGAATTTGAGGTATCCATACCAACTGTACTGAAAGATGTAGACATAATATTATTATCTATATTATCTAATGAAGATCTTAATAAATCAGAAGAAGAAACATCTGATGTAACTGATTCATATGTTGGATTATTAAAAGGAGTTGACATAAAGCTGTTTTCTTGTAAATTTGTTGTTGCATTATTAGATATATCATCAAGAGAAAATTGCATTTCACCACATAAAACTTTGTTTAATGCAGTATCTACAGAGTTTTCATTAAATCGATTAGATATTCCAGTTTTTCGTTCATTTAAAGATAAACTTCCAAATGAAGTTGTCATTAAATCATCAGAAATATTATTGAAAGATTGTGAATTATTAGAAGACATTGTAGATACTGGTATTGAATTTGTATGAATTTTATACAGTGGTTTGTTAAAAGATGTTGATGTAAGAAATGTATTTGAGAACGAAAGATGTGATGAATGATTGAAAGAAGTTGTGACAAAAGTACTGTTAGGCATATTGAAAGATGTTTCTAAATTACAGTCAGTTTTTGCATCAGATGATACATCTGTAAATGATGTGGATAACAGATTTTTATGAAGAGGATATGGATGGAGAACTGGTAAGGGTGGAATTTGATTATTGGAGTCTTTCTTATAATTATGATTTTTCAATTGTTTTGTATCAGTCTGATTTTCTTTTGAAAAATTTTCACTTTCATCACTGCAAGATTCTTCTCCTTTGTCACTTAATGAATAAGAACAAATTGAACAGGATGCTCTAGAACATGTAGAATCTGAAATTTTCAGTTTCTTTGTACATAATAATTTATAAAATAAAATTTTCTGTAAAATATTTAATTATATAATTCTTACGTGAACTATTGCAGCTGTTTGATCGACTTAATATACGTTCGGCATTTTCTTTTGCTGCAGTTGCCATTGCTGTATCATTTACAACTAATGCATAAAAATGTATATCCATAAAAAGATCATGATCATTTAAGTCTATAGCAAGCCTAAAAGCTTTTTCAAACATATGATACCTATAATATTTAAAATTAGTTTTATATATTATATATGAATAGTTTTTAAAAAATAAAGATATGCAATACCTTAATAAATGATGGAAAAAACGTCTTGTCAAATCTCTTATTTCATCTCCATATTCTTCTTCAATAGCTTGACTTATTGGTTTGATAGGCACATGAAAACTACCCAAAGCATTCTGTATGAGATCTGATGGAAAATCAAATTATTTGCAGTACATAAAATAAGATAACTGAACCGTAAAAAAATATCTTACTTTCACGTTCTGTTGTCAGTGGTAATTTAAATAAATAATTTACAATCTGATTTAATGCATGCATACATGCACGAGAATGAGTATCCCAATTCATAGCTAGTAATAATGAAGTTGCTTGTTCAACTTGTGATAAAGATAAATATCTCTTGATTAATACATCACCAGTGAAAGAATTTCCTTCCAACATTTTTATAACACCAAGAGGTCCTCTATTAATATATTATATTAATATTTTTTTATTTATTATTTATTTTATAAGAAATGTTTATAACTCATACCGTTGAAAAATTATTAACAATAAAGAATTCCCATGATTATGTAAATTAATATAACAATTTAAATCATTTTTTTTATTCCATTCCATACACAATAATGCTGGCTGAATTCTACAATGTAAATAAATATAAATTTCTTTACTAATAATTTTTACTAATTTAATAAAAAAAAGAATTAAAATAATACCTAAAATACGAAGATAAATCAAGAATATTAGCTTGTGCTGCTTCTTCACTTAATGTTTGACTTTTAATACAATTTAAAGCAATGTCAAAATGTTGAAGTTGACCCTTATCATTTCCAACGACAAATATTATTCCATCACTATGCCATGATGCCAATGTAGGTATCTTAAAAATTGGATAATTTAGAGATATGACTTTTTTAGTTTTGTTATTAAATTTTATATATATGTTTATAACTTACAAAAATTGCTTTTACACTAGTAGTAGTAGCTCTAGTTTGATCATAAATTATAATAGAACCATCTATACAGCATAATAACAACAATTCTTGAGTTGGTGAAAATTTTACACAACTTGTATGTGTAGGTAATGGGATAGATACTACTGCTATTCTTTGAAGTTTATCTTGTTGAGAAACTTCATATGTACGCCATTCTATAGTTACTTCTCCCTAAATTATATTTATGATGTAAAATGCTTAATTTAAAAACTAATATTATATTATTATTAATAAATATTATTACCTTTCGCGATACTTTTTGTTCTACAGAATGAATAATGTTATCATTGCATACATCAAACATTATACACAAGGGATCAAATTCACTACGTATATAACAAATTAATTCTAATTTTACTCTAAAAATAAAAATACGTTATTTATAAACATTTTTATTATATATAGTATGAATAAGAATTCAAATGTTTATTAAATATTAAAAAATTAATTAAATAATTTTATACCCTATTAAACGATAAAGATGTATGTTAGCACGATCATGTTCTTTTACAGCAGGACTCCAAGGATAAACTTCATTCATAGTAGATTTCCACCAAATTAATATCTATAATTTATAACAGTTTATAATTTATTAATTATATTATATTATATATTATTAATATAATATATAAATATTATATATTACATATTAAAATTAAAAAATAATAAATAATAGAAATTATTAATTATAATATATGAAAAATAATTTATTTTAATTTAATATAAATATAATTACCAAATCTCCACATTTATTAGTCTGAACTTTTTTATCCAATCTACGACCATTAGGACCAAATAGATCAATTGTAGACAATTTTGGTTCAAGTTTATTAATTTTATCAAAAACATGTCTTTTTGATCTTGTAAAATGTACAATAGTTATTTGGTTATCATTATAAGTGCAAAGAATATAATTTTTAGTGATTATCACTGTAAATATAGATAGTAACTGAAGTTTCTTAATAAACATATAAATATATAAAAATAAATGTATAATATAAAAAATAAATTACCATCTGATATATGATCCAATAATTTTCCTATAAGATATTTATCAAAAGTTATTTTACAAATGTCACCAGTGTCTATATTAACTTGTATTTGTATTAATAATGCATTATTTAACATTAATTGTAAAGCACAATCATTATACCATTGACAATATACAATTGAATTATCTTTTAATTGTTCCTACAAAAATCAATTCAATATAAGATTATAAAACAATAGGTATAACATCTTTTTAGTATTTAATTGCAATTTTACCTCTAGATATTTAATAGAATCTTTCAATTTATTTCCTTTTTTATTTGTTGGGACATATATCATACCACGTTTCTGACAATAAAATTTTTTTCCTTCTTCATGTATATGATCAATACGTTTATCGTGATATCTAAAATAACAATATATAATTTGTTTATTATAATAATGATAAAAATAATTGTAAATAATAATGATAAAAATTGCTAAATATGGATAAAATTATTATCTTATAATAATATTTTATAAAAATATTTTATAATATTATATTTTCTATTTAATTTTATTAATATATTTAATTATTAATATAATTTATAATACAAATAAATTAATATATTTTACCGAAATGCACCAAAGTCTGTACTCTTTATATTGATATTATCATCGAAAGTCCATAAGTTTACTTCTCCTAACAATGTAAACATTATAAAATACTACGATTCTAAAACCATTGAATATTCATATCAAATTATTCACAAAGAAGCGTCACATTAGGTTTAAAAGAATTAAATTGGATTACATTAGAATTAAATGTAATAATATTTAACTTAAGAAAAATTAATATTTTATTTACGATTATTGGGACTTGTTCTTCACCATTTTGTTACAGAATACTATTTTACCGGTATATCATTTCAATTATAATTGTAAAGTTAATTTTGTTGTAATTTAATATTGTTATATATAATAATGTTACACGAAATTAAAACATTTTAATTATTAATGAAATAAGTTATATATTATGATAACAATAACATGATTAAAAAATTATAATTTTAAACGAGTTTGAATATTTTAAATTGTTTTTTTTTTTATAAAACATTATTAAAATAATTTTAATATCTAAATTTTAGAGATTAGAAATTTTAGAAATTTTCTTTATAAACTTTGATAAAAATAAAATATATATATATATATTGATAAAAAAAATATATTTTTCAAAATATTTATATATTTTAAATATATTTTAAATATTTATATATTTAATATATTTTATTTTTTAAATCAAAAATATTTGAACATATAGTTTTATTTATTTAAATTTTGTAAATATTTTTAAGAAAATTTTTAAGGCATATAAAAAAAATTTATAAGACAAAAAAAGCAAAAATAAAAGACAATTAATATATAGGTTACTAATTTGAAATAGATAAAATATTTACTTTTTTTATTAAAAAATTTAATTTGTTTCTAATGAAAAATATTTTTAAGCTTAAAAGGACATATACATATAATACTTACATATATCTTAATCAATTGAGAATCTTATTAATGTAATTATTTGTTATTTTCAAAATTAAAAATCGAATATAAAATAAAAAAGAAAATAGTGCATGATATTAATAATTTTTCACTGCTATACTATATAAACTGAAAAATGAATCGAATTATTAATTATTAGTATTATTAATAATTCCTTTTTTGTAATTACTAACACAAGTGATATGTAAACCGATAAACTGTCCAATAAACCGTGCGAATATACCATATGTCATATGTGCCATAATAATACTTCGATTCATATGGATAGTGTGCATATGATTGCAACCGTTTAGATCACGTAAGTACTTGTATTACATTTTGTATTCTCAGGATAACTTTTATTATCTGAATATATCTTAATTAAGATTATGTGTATATATATACATGCTAATATTTAAAATGTTGTATAATTTTCCTAGATATATATATCATTTAATGATATTTTTAAGTATCTTACGAAACTCTCGTGTAATTTATATTATATTTTTATTGAAAAATCTAATATAAGCTTAAATTGTTTATAACTTAATATTTTTATATATGTTTTGATCTCTAGAATCAATTTTTCAAAATTATCGCATAAATATTTTTATATATCAAAAAAATCGATTTCATTTAATAGGCTAGAAATGTTCATACATATTTAAAGTATTATTTAATTATAAACTATTATTATATTATTATATCATTATTATATATATAAGTTAATACAAAGTAATAGTGAAATTCGTTTCTATTAGTAATATTTATTATAGATTAATATATTAGACAAGACGATAGTGAAAAAAACATGATACCCATGTTCGAAACAAAAAATTTGTTGAGGTTAAACTTATTTTAAAGATTTTTAATATTTTATAAGTATCAATTCTCAATAATTCTTAAATCGATAAAATAATATAAGTTATTCCATTAGCAAACAAAGAATTTTATATACATATAAACAAAAATTTTTTCTTCAAATTATTTTAAATTAATTTGTAATATGATAGATTTAATTATTAAAAAAGATGTTATCTTGATTAAAACAAATTATTTTTCGTTTTGAATGAAATACATTAGAAACAATGACTATACATATATTTTCTACGAGTTTCGATTTATCGAAGAACTATATAATGAATAAGCTTTTCATTATCGATTTACTGAAGAAACTGTATAATGAATAAACTTTCTTATGTGATGAAACTTGTTTCGATTCCGCTAGTTTAAACTTTCCAGAATTGACTATTCTTAGTTACTAAGGATTTATACATAGTTTTAATTACATATCTATATGCATTCATTTTATATTCATTACATATATATTCATTACATATCTACATACTTGATTTTGGTTATAATCACATATATTTTATAAAATATATAAAAATATTTCTATAATTATAATTACTATAACTAGTTATACATATATGTATATATATATATATATTAATTTTTTCTAAAATTAATTTAATTATTATAATAATTTTTTAAAAATAAATTTTTTATCAATTTGAAATATAAATTCAATTATCAAATCTTAATTTGAAAGTGAATTCTTTGTATTTCTATCAATTTTACTTTGAAACGAAAAATACTGATACATTGAACACAAAAAAAAAAATGTACAATATCAACAATTTTTTTAATGGAAATGTAGATTTTTTTCAGTTGAGTTATACGATATACGAAACAATACAATTTTATTTTGCAAAAGAAAAGAAAGAAAAAAATAACCAAACAGAAATTACACTCGTTTATGCAATGCATTCTAAACTTTAGATGATATTGAAAACAAAAAAATATTCATATCAAGGAACAAAATCATATCAATGACAAAAAGATTGAAAAAATTTTAGCTTTTTTTTTTTAACAACGGATTTATATTTATGAAACAAATATTTTTTATTCTTTTAATATATTTTTTTAAAGAATAAATTATATTTATATAAAATAAACATCAAGATTAATGATCAGATGTGCACTTTGCATTTTTTTTCTTGTTGGTGATAAACGGGATTAGTGGCTTAGCGATAACAGCTTGATTATAAAAATTATATCTAACTTCATAGTACATCAGCTAATTTATATACTTTTTTACTCAGGTATTTTCAAAATGCACTTTTTATGTATACAAGAATAAATTTTAAAGTTATTAAAAAAAAGAATTATATTTTTCAATAATAAATAGCATAATCGTAATGAAAATTTTAAATATAAAAATATTTTTGGTTATTTAGAAATTAAATGTTGTTTAATAAATTAAATTTTTATAATTATAAATGATAAATTTTTATAATTAGTAAATGGGAAGGATTTATAATAATCTTTTAGAAAATTTATTCCTTAATTATAAATAATCTTAAAAATATCATTATTTTTTCAATAGATTCTTGTAAAAGGATAATGCAAAGTATCTTTAAAGATAAGTATAATTCTCTTCATTTCTATGAATTTACAGATAAAGTTTACAGAAATAGTATATAGAAATATAAATGTATATTATAAATATATATCTTACAAAATCTGAATCCAGTCAAAAGATTTACAACTATTCAGTTAACTTTAACAATTTAATACAAATTTAGAATAAAATGAAAGAATTGAACAACATTTTCATTTTTTTGAAAAGTTTCATCAAAAGTTCTGTAGAAAATTACAAATATAAAAATATATTACTAAAACAATCAAATTAACTTTAGATTTTAGATTTTTTTATCTGCAAATTGTTTTTTTGACGAAATTTATATCGACTTTTATTCAGATAGAAATATAATTATATATATATAATTACTTTCATTATACTATTTCAATTTTAATCATTTTAAATTATATTGTGATAGTGGATATATTTATTTAATACTAAATTATTATTATATACATAGTTATTGAAAAAAGAAAATTATAATCATTTGTCTATAATATATTTATGTACATATTATATGTCAATCTATTATATTAAAGCAACATGATTATTTATATACGTGAATATGAATATTTATATACGTATTGTAAGTGTTCAAAGTACGTGCAATGGAACTCGGCCTGACGAACGAGTTAAATGCCTCTCGAACTTGCATCTCTTTCAACGAGTTTTATCAACCTGCATTTAGAATGTATATATCAACCCTGTACATGACCGGTATCATACACCACCCACAGTGTCTGCGTAGTCAGCATGCTCGACCCGGCAATGTTCGGCTGCGCCACTCTGGTTTCCGCTCCCGTAAAAGAAGGACCTCGTAACGCCTCTTTCGTTCATTCACAACCACCTGCTCATCGAGAAAGCATCGGGATTCTTTTAGTTTATCCATTAGTTGCCTATTGTTCGTGAGGAACGGGTGCAAGAGGAACCAGAATGAAGAACAATGCGACTTCCGGTCTTCCGCTGTCCGTCTGTGCGTCCATTTGCGCGCTAATTATCCTGATTTCCTTCGCCGATACTGCTTATGCTAAACGTGAGTAATATTTTTTATTTTATTTAATTTTCAATATTATTCAAACTTATTTATTTATTTATTTGAAAAGCATATTTTTAAAATATCGTCAAACTTGTTAATTTTATTATTAATTACTTTAAAAACAAAATTTTTCCGATAATAATTATTCTTAAAATTTATTTTTCGTGTTGGAAAATAGGATAAGTTTTTTTGATAATATTTTTGGATGTATTGTTATCTTTTAACAAAGATACAAATAAATTTATCTTTTTGTATGGGAAAGCTAGTCACGCAATAAAATACTTTAGAATGTGCAATTTTGAGATTCACTTTCGAACAAGATAGAATTTTGTTAGCGAATAAATATTTATTTCGCTTGAAATTGATTTATTGATATGAGTTTTCGAAGAATAAAAATGTATGAAGTAAAATATTTTGATAAAAATTTTCGTGTATAATATTATTAAATAATATTATAATATTATTATTTTACTATTAACGCAAATAGTTAAAAAATATTAAAAAATTAATTTATTTGGACTTTATTTCTTTTATAATATTATTAAGATTCAGGATAACAAGTTTTAAATTTTTTATTTTTATGCAGAATAACACATAAAATTTGTTAAAACTTCATTTTCATAACAAATTTATAAAATATTTACAATTAAACTTATTGCATCTTTTATTATTATTATTATTATTATATTTTATTATTAATTAAAATAAAAGTGAAAATACATAAAAGATAGAATTTTAGTGCTTTTAGAAAAGTCATTACTAAAAGCAATTTATATTTAGAAGAATTTTATTTGCTTTATATATATTAAAAAAATAAATATGATATAATTTTTAATATATACTTTTAATAAAAATGATTTTTTTTATAAAATATACAAACATTTTTTTATACATCTATATTTTTTATTAACATAATATCAAAATACTTTAAGATATTCAATTCAAAGTTATATTCAAATAACTTTCTTTAATGATTTTTTAAATAAGAATATCTGAAAAGTTTTGCAGAAATTTTATTATTAAAAATAAAAATCGATTTTAAAAAAAATTTTTCTAACAAAATTTTTACTCCAAAATAGCATAATAATGTTATTCCCACCACTCCATTATCATTCCATTTTTGCAATATTTTTCTGTTAATCAATTTTCTAACCTTCGCATAGAGATCCTACATATCATAATTAGACATTCGCGAACATTTCCATAATCCAATTTGTTCCGGTCAAAGCTTAATGAAGATACTCATGATTCAATGTATTGTACAACTGTTGACCCCAAAGAATCATGGCGCCCGTTTAGCGAACAGAAACCAATAAAAATCGTATTTTCAACAGTTATTTTTGAGAAAATGAATTCTCAAATGAAAAAATAAGAATTTTTTATTTCTTTCATTTTGATTTGCATATAAAATCATTCTGATAATACGAAGTTTGATAATAAAATTGGTTAATTAAAACTAAAAATTTCTATTAGAATTATTAATAATATTAATAATATTCAGTTGCTGAATATTATTCCTATTGGAAATCTATGCAGTGATGACAATGTGTTATCTACATTTCAAAAAAATTTTAGAAATGATTTTACAGAATGATTTTTGTATATATATATATATTAACTCTTAAAGGAAAGCTATTTTAATGCCAATGATATAAAAAGTATATAACAATAATTCTGAATTTCCATAAAACAATTTGTAAAATTACTTTAAAGGATATATAAGATGCTGATATCAATATATATTTTTTCATAAGAAGTATCTTGAAAGTAATCGTAATGATATTCAACAAATAAGCAAGTAAAATAATAATTTTATTGCGATCAGTTTTAATTTTGCCAACTTTATTGCCAGATCTTATGTACCAAATGAAAAAAAGATGCATAGTATTCGTGAAACCTTTGATATTCCTTCCTTGCAGGTAAGATAGGGAACTTGATTTAAGAAAAACTTCATTCTATGTCGCGTGTGATCTCTAAGAGTAATCGAATGAATAATTCTCGGCTGTTCGGTGCAACCTGAACTTAAATTAGTTCCATCATGATGGCAAACAAAGATTATCCACTCAATGTTACGCATTAATCCGAATGTTTGATTATAAATGAATGAATGGGATATCGAAAAGGAAGAGTGTGTGTATAAAGTTACGTGGGTGAGAATAGTAAAAAAATCAACGAGGGAAATCAGAGATATGATTGATCTCTAAATTTTCAGAAATTGTTGAAAGTAGAGAAGAAATATCGAGTATTTTGAAAATAAAAATGTGTTTAAAAATTATTTTATGTATAAATTTTTGATTATAAAAATAGATAATATATTTGAAAATTCTTCTTAAAGATTTTTTTTTCTTCTTTTTTTAGAGACTTCAGAAAAATATTTTTAAAAATCTTTTTATATGTAAATTAGAATGTAAGAAACAAAGAAGAAATGCATTTTGAAATTATGAGAAGAATATATTTAGAATATATTTAGAAATTCAAATTTTTTATATATAAAAATCAATTTTTTATGTATACATAAAAACTTAAATTAATAAAATTTAGTATTGTAAATACAATTTTGGAAAATGAACGTCAGCTTTCTATTATTTGATTATATCTTTTTAACTTTCATTCATGAAATCTCTTTTTTAAAATCTCGTTAAAACATTGATTTACTTTAGAAAACGATAAATTAAAAAATGATTAATAGTTAATGAATTTTGTCAACTTTTTCTTCTGTAAAATCTTAAAACATCTATCATTTATTTCTAAGAAAAATTTAAATATTTATAATTTTAGCATTAAATAAATGAATAAATTTTAATTGATTGTATTTATTTTTTAAAATAAAATTATTAATGTATCTAATGTATCTAAGATTTTCAAATGAAGATGTGTTTATTGCATTGAGTTTTAAAATTCTCATAATATTTAACTGGAACGATAACGTTCATATAGTATGATATATATAATATAATCGTTTTGACTTTAATATCTAGTTTATCGAACTAAATTATACCTAATGTATTAAGCCAACTACATGCATGGTTTTGCATAGTGTACGGGTTAAAATAAAAATGAGTACAATGAGAGATAAATCAAATTATAAACGAAAAGAAATTTGTCGATATTTTTACTTAACGCAACTGATATTTTACATTTTTTATTTTTTCATTTTATAATTTATTTTGATACATTTATTATATTTATTTGTTTAAAAATTAAAAAATATTAGATAATTGTTAATAGATATTAATTTGTATAATTATTTTGTTAATAATAATTAAAAATTTTTATTATCAATATTATCGACAAGTTGATTTTTTTGAGAGCTATTTTTACATATAATCAGTTTCATATTTTTATTAATATTTTAATTTTTCTTTTTTCAACATTATTTTCTCAATTAATTATCTTAATGTAGTTATTTTAATTTCATTTAATTCATCTCAATTTTCTTAATATTTATCTTAATGTTTCTTTATGATTTATCTTAATATTTTCTCTTTCAACTTCTACCGTGAGAAGCTTCCACCTTGTTGAATTTATCTTCTTCGTTTCGTAAAATATAATGTAAAAATTCAGTTTAAACTTACGTAAAAATTGACGAGTAGGAAAGATACGAACGAGCACCATACAGTTTCATATTATACTCTCGGTGTTCGTGCGTAATTGGATTTGTTCATATTTGTTGATACTTCCGTTGCTAATTAATCGTGGATTTCCTTCGATCAACTCAATTCTCAGTTTTAAGTGAATCGCGGCTAATGACAATCATTTTGATCAATGTGAATCGAAAGAAGGAATGGAGAGAAGGAAAATAAAAATTTTATTTTGAAAAAAAATAATAATAAATTTTTAATATAAAAAAGTTGTTTTTTATATTCAAATGGATATTATTAAGAAGAGATTAAACAGAGATTACGTACAGAGAATATGAAATGAGTTCAAAGGGAATTTTGGAATTTCTTCAAATAACGATGGACTGAAATTCGAGAATTTTAGAATTTTTTCAAAAAAAATGATATTAGTTGAAAATATCATATCTTCGAACTTGAAAAAAATTGTGATGTAAAATTGGAAATTTTCAGTTAAATATGCTATTAATTTCAGGAATATTTTATTCTTTCAATATCACGTGTTTTAACATGTGACATCATATCTTCTTTCACAGAAATGATCTATCTTATTTATTTTTATAATAATATTTTCATTACAGTATCATAAAAATAATTTTTTATATTAATAATAGCAAAATTTATTTGTAATTAGTATAACTTATTTTTATATTTGTTTAGTACATACATATTTTTATTCTATTGATATAATTATTAGCATAAATTATTTGTTTATTGTTTTTAATAACAATCGAATTTTTTTCAATATTTCTTTTGTATTATTGTCCATAATTTCATTATTTCATGCAATCAATATAATATCAATAAATAAATATGATTTCTAAATAATGGAAATATTTGATAACATTATCGTTTAATATTATAAAAATAAAAGTAACGAAAATCAAAATTAAAATTTAAAATTTTGCAGATAAATTAATAGCAATGGTACATATTAAGTTGTTTGTTAAATTATATGATACCATAAATCATATTACGTTTATTTATATGATCAAATAATTAATAATAGAAGATGTAAATGCAAATTAAATTTATTTCAAGATTTATTTATGTTGTTATTTGAAAGTTATAAAATTATGTATGTTAAAAGTATAATATTTTAGATAAAAATATATTATTTTTATTATGAAATATGCGAATTATTTTTTAATGCTAGTAACATTTTCTTTTTCTTTAATTTTTACATTTATTATTTTTATTTTTCTAAAATTTTTTAAAAATAATTTTCTCTTGTAAAAAGATATCTTTATACGATCTCTAATTTTTTCAGAATTTTTAAATAATTGTTTTTTCCTGGAATTTTTTTAGATATGGTGATAAATGATGCACATAAAATACTTTCATTAGTATTCTAAGGTTAAAAGTAACTTAAATTTACTT